TTTCTTTCTCGTTTCCGCATTGTTATGTTCTTTTTTCTGCTCATATTTATGCTGCTGTTGCTGCTGTTGCCGCTGCTGCTGCCCCACGCCTACATGATCCACTCCCCTTTCGCCCTTGTCCTTTTCCTCGTCATCGTCATCACCACATCGCCATCATCATGTCATCTCCCTCCCTCCTCATCGCCATCTTCCTCTTATTCCCTTCTCCTACTCCTCTTCCTCGTTATTTCCACTCATTGCCCTTTCACCTCTTCCTCCTCGTCCTTCTCCTCATCCTTCCTTCCTCCTCCTCCTTCCCTTCCTACGCTTTCCTGCTCGTCCCTCTATCCCTTGCACCCAGCCCCCCCCCCACCCCCCTTCTTTTTTGCCCCCCCCCCCCCCCCCCCCCCCTACCACCCGCTGCCATTTTGGCTCGAACACCTCGCCCGCGCGCGGCTCGACGCGCCCGGCAGCGGAACAATGGGTCTTCGGAAAACGGATGGCGCAGTCCGCCCTGCATTGGTCGGGGGCCACACGGCGCCCCCAAAAGTGCTTGTCGCGAAACACAACCTTCTTAAGATATTGCTACGTAAATGCACGGTTGCATCCTGTATGATCGCGTAATATCGCATGCGCATTACATGCGCTCATACGAATATGTGAGCGCATAAAAAGAGCATGCCATTATGAGCTCATTTAAATGCACCCGCTGCGCCACAGGGTAGAGGCCGTTGGCCAGGTGCACCTCTGCCGGGCGGCGGGGCGCACGGCCGCCCGCCGGATGTGCGTCGACCAGCGCGCGGCCGTCGAACAAATTCAGATCGTGGACTCGGGAGAACACGGAGCGGCAACGCCGCGCCGAGCCGCGGCCGCGGGTCTGCGCAAGGTGGGCGTTTTGGCGCGGTGGCTGTTCAGTGGACTGGCGCGGTCATCGCTCAAGTGGACGTGCTGCCCACGCTCCGAGAGCTCCGCTGCGTCGACGGCGCCGCGGGGGGCCGCCCCCTGGCGCCGGACTCGGAGATCGAGTGCGAGGCGGAGAAGCGCCCATGCCATGCGGCGAGGGCGGGCGCGCAATTGGCGAGTGGAGCCCGCTCGCTCCATCCCGATGGGCGCTCGGGCCGAGGGCCGATGGAGCCGGCGGCTGAACAGGTAGAAGACGCCGCGGTGTCAGACAGTGTCAGACGCGCCCGCGCCTCGAGCCGGAGAGATGGCGCAGGTGCGTCTGCGCGCCCACCATGCGCAGCAGAACCGCTGGGCACTGCTGGGCCGCAAGTGGCCCGCGGGGACTTTCACGGCGCCGCGCGGGGAACATTTGGGAAACGGCAACGGCGCGCCGCCGCCGGTCGAAGCGACCACCCAGCCGGGGCTCTTCGGGCGCCCGGCGCTTGCGCGGGCGATGGCCCGGCCCATGCCCGGCGAAGGACGCGGCGCCCCAGTTTCGGGGGCACCCGTCGCAGCCCCCGGGGGCCGCCGCGGCCCCCGAGCACCAGCCGGCCAACATATGGCACCGGCGATGGCCAACATGTCGCCCGCCCCTCGAGGCGAGACCTCCGGCGAGGCCGCGCCCATGGGGGCCGACGCCGATGCTGGGCGCCCCCGCGGGCAGCGGAGGCGCCGGCCCCCCGCCGGGCCGCGCCCCCGCCCGCGCCTACGCGGCAACGGCCGAGATCCGCCGCGCCGGATGGCATCGATCGCTCGCCGTCGCCGGGAGGGGGGCCCCAGCCGATAGGTTGCCGTCGCAGCAGTGGCTCCGGGAGAACTGCGCGGCGAAGGTTTGCCCGAGCATCGTCGATCGCGTCGAGGCGGGAAGCCCTCCTCGGCCCCCATTGCCGGGAGCGCGCGAGGGCATCAAGACGCGCGGGTCACCCAGCGACGCGTTGGCGATCATCGGGGCGAGCCTAGAAGGGGCGCAGGTCGAGGCGCAAGCATCGGATATCCTGAGACACCCCAGCCCAATTGGCGAGGGACGCTGCGACGCCGATTGGATCAACCGCCTGCTCCACGAGGTCCCGATGGGCACGACGAGCGAGGTTGGCGCGCGAGTCGCGGCCCATCATCCCCATAGATACGCCAACGGGGCGGGGCGGAGGTGAACAACCGGCGCCGGCTCCTCATCCCCACGCGGCGAGGCATCCTGCAGGGAGACGCGAGGCGCTTGCCGGGCCAGCATCGCCGGGGAGGGGCCAGGTCCCGAACCCAAGGCAGCGAGGAGGGTGACCTGCCGCGCCCCCCGCTGCTACCGCCACCAGCCAGGCCCCCCTCCGGATTATGAAGAGGACGGGATGCTGGGCCCGGTCGAGATCTTCATGTCGGCGTTGCGCGGAGGCACCAATCCGCTCGCGGCGCCGGGGACAGCGGCCGAAGTCATGGACGTGTCATTGGGGCCGGCGGGGAAAGATCTGCGCCGAGGAGCGGCGCGCAGCGCCGCCCTAGTAGCGGCGGGCGCCGATATCCAGCAGGCGCTGGCCGACCGTTGCCGCGCCCAGCGAGGGCGCGCGGCGACGCGCGATCACGACGTGGACCAACCATCGTCTCAGGCTCTGCGCGCCAGCTCGCGGGGCCGCTCCTCGGGGCGGAGAGAGCTCAGGCCGCGAAGGGGCCGCGACTTGACTTGAGATGTATTCGGCTCGGGTGCGGGCCCGCGACAGCCGAGGGGGGCGCTCGCCAGCCGGGGCTAGGGCCTTACGCGCAGGGGGCAGAGCCATGCCCCCGACGCAGGGAGGAAACCCTCGCTGGCTGGCGCGGAGGGGCGCCCAGCCGAGGTCCGGGGCGCCTGCTGCAGGGAGACGACCGTGGAGGCGAGCGCGCGGGAGGCTCAGATGGTGGCCGATGGGCCGGCGAGCGTGCCAAAAGGGCGCGCAGCTTTTGTGGTGCGCGCCGTGCAAGCACGAGCCCAGCCGGGGTTCGTGCTCATGGGCGCGTATCACAAAACCATAATCCTTGTTCTTCTCCCGTCCTCGTTTCCTTCCCTCTCTCCCCCATCCCCTCTGTGTTAGTACACGCGCGTTTGCTCGTAATTTGTATAGTATGGTTGTTGAAGCTGCAGGTTATGTGCTGCGGGAGTGGGGAGTTTGGTTGCCCGTTTTAGCTCCGCAGCCGTGGGGCTCGAGCTGCAGGGTTGCGCACCCACCCCGCTTCGCTCCCTGAAGGCACTGGTTTTGGCGAGGGCCGATGGGCCGTTTTGCCACAAAATCATAACCTGTTGTCCTTCTCCCGTCCTCGCCGCGTTCTCTCTCCCCCGTCCCTTTGTGTTAGTGCACACGTGCATGCACTGAACCCTTCCTTTTTCACCGTCTCATTGCTGCTATCGCGTGGACTTTTAGACCCCTTGTCCGTCCTTTGTCCTGCCCTTTTGTTCCCACCCCCATTTCCTCATCCAGCCTGGGGTCTCAGCCCTACTCCTTCTGTTGTTGTCCTGTGAACCACGCAGCGCGCACGCTTCCCACAGTCGATGGCAAATCCTGCTTAATCGCCAGCCGTCGTATTCAAGACAACTGTCTCTTGTCATATCATGCAGACGGGCTGTACGTTGCGTGGCAACTTGAGGGGGATGGCGGGGGGGTTCTGTCATTGGCCCAGGCTTGACGCAGATCGGGTGGGGAGCGGGCTCATACGTATAAGGAACAGCGATCAAGTTCCCAGCGGGAACGGTTGATTCGTTCACCCCTACCCCCCGCCTTTCCATGACGGCAAGGGTCCCAATTGACAATCATCGGGAACCAAAGCTGACGCCAAACAGGTTCGCCACATCGTGCAAATCGTCGTCCCCTGCTCCTTTTTTGTCAAAATCCATGTAAAGCAATGGAGGGGGTGCCAGCATCGTGTACGGCGTGTGCGCCCGCAATTCGTTGGAACGTGTTGTTGGCAAAGTTGGTGGGCCTGCACAGCAGGCAATGCAATATGCCGTCCCTTCCGCCCCCGGCTAAGTGTAGTTTTTATGTTTGTTTGAAAGCATGGTGGGTGCACAGTGCACAGACACACACGCACACACACACACACACACCAGGCAGTATGCCAGCCCTTCCGCCGCCCTTGCAGAAACTGCCATATGATCGCGCGGCGCCCGTGCATGACCCTGGTTATAACGCAACACGCATGTCGCAACAGTGGTGCGTTGCTCACAGCATACAATATGCCGACATCCTTGCCGTATGCTTTCAAAGCCTATGCGAACGTATCGCGGGGCGTCCGCACATGATTTAGATTCTGCCGCAATGCGCATTCCGGAATATTGCTGCAGATATTGTTGGGGGGTCGGACGGTCTCCTGGGTTTGTCTCTGGTCGGATTGGGAACGGGATGTTTCTAATGAGGAACAGTGGTAACCCCCCCCCCCGATTGGACGGAGGGTGGCTCGATGCGGAAGCGCCATAAGCCACTAGCGCCCTACAGGTCTGGTGAGATTTGTCCGCATCCTGCCGTCGTCGCGTGTCCCGATCCTCATCCCCATTGGGTCATGGTATCACAGCCCCACCAGCTCCCCCCCCCCTTAGGTGGGGATAGGCCCCACGAAACCCGCAGGGAACAGCATGTGTCTCCATCGAGGGGAGCGCATGGGCAAGTGGGGCCAAGGCCATGCCAGCGAGGATGGGGATCTTTTAACCAATGCTCGAGTCCCCTGCCCCACCCCGCCCCCCGTCGAGGCCGAGACTGGGCGAGGGCGGCGCGCACGCTTGCGCGGAGGCCACCCGCGCGGCCCTCGGCGGGAACGGGCGGGGAGGAGGGCCGCCACCGAGGGCGGATCGCCGCGCCGACGTGGCGGCGATGTCTCGAGGCCCAGACGAAGGATTCTGGTTAAATTTTGACCTCTGGGAGCCCTCGCCAGGCCCAGGAACCGTCATCGGGGCCCCCCAGACGGCGCGGCGACCACACCGCGTGGTGAGTCAGTGAGGGTTCGAGGTCACCGTACGGCCCGGGTCGTTATCCGAGGATGTCTCCAGCGACTGGGACCTCCAGGGTCCCGAAGCCGTGCGGTGACAGAACGTGCGGTGAGATTTTTGTGGATTCCGAGGTCACCGCACGGTTTGTCACCACACGGTTTTGGGACCCCCAAGGTCAAAAAAACAATTCGGGATGAGAAGCCTCTCCCAAGGAAAGGGCCCAAGGAAAGGATCCAGACCTCAGAAAGAGCGCGTTCTGTGGTCGTTTGGAGGGGGGGGGTGGAACCAGACCCCCTTCCCTCCTTCCCCTACTTCTCCTCTCTCCCTCTCCTCCGGCCAGCGCCGGCGGCGGCGGCGGGCGGCGGCGGCGGTGGGGGTGCTGGTGGTGGTGGTAGTGGCGGTGGTGGTGGTGGGTTGGTGGGGTAGTGGCGGTGGTGGTAGTGGTGGCGTGGTGGCTGGTAGTAGTGGGGTAGTGGGGTAGTGGGGTTGGTAGTGTAGTAGTGAGGTAGTGGGGTAGTGTGGTTGGTGGGGTAGTGGGGTGGTGGCTGGTAGTAGTGGTGGTGGTTGTGGCGGTGGTGGTGGTGTGGTAGATTGTGGTGATGGTGGTGGTAATGGTGGTGGGTTGTTGTATTGGTGATGGTGGTGGTGGTGAGCTGTTGTGGTGGTGGTGGTGGTGGTGGTGGCTATGGTGGTGGTGGTGGTGGTGGTGGTGGTGGTGGTGGTGGTGGTGGTGGTGGTGGTGGTGGTGGTGGTGGTGTGGCCTTCGGCTCTTCCCGCCACTGTGTTTTGGCAAAGGTTCAGAGTTCTAATGGGTGCCTCTTGAGGTCTCGTCAGAAGGGTCTCGGGGGCGTCTGAGGAGCATGCGAGGGCTCGATATAGCGATTTGTGTGTTCCCTATGCGGCCTCTGGGCCCTCTCTGGTCGTCGTCGCTGCGTCCCCGCCGTCAGCGCTGCTGGCCGCCACCAGCGCCGGCGCCGGCGCCGGCGCGGGGAGTGGTTTGAATCCCTCCCCCCTCCCCCCTTCCTGGGCTCTATGGTCATCGTCGCTGCGTTGGCGCTACGGCGGCCGCCGGCGCCGGCGCCAAGGGGGGGGGAGGTTTGGATCCCCCTCTCCCCCTTGGGAGGGGGGGGGGGTCGGGAGGGGGGAGGGGAGTCCCCCTGGTTCTGATCGATGGCGCCGAGTGTTGGGGGGGGCCACCCCCTGGTTCGAAACGCGCCGCCGAATGTTCCCAAGGCAAGCGCCCGTGAAACGCGTTCTCTCAGACCTCAAGGTGTCCACGTTGCATGCAAAATCATGATGCTGGAGGTCTGGGGAGTAGTTAATTCGAGGCTTCCCTTGGACTCGATTGCGACCTGTGTCGATGCACATTGGGCTGACAAACTTAAGAGCCCCAGGTGACCACGGGGAGGGGGGAGAGCTTCGAGTGGAAGCGCGTGTCCTGGGACCACCCCAGAGCGACCGCCCCAGAGCTCCCCCTCACGCGCGCCAGCATGATCGGCGGACATGATCGTAAGCGAGCTTGGGCGTCTTTTCTGCGGCTTCGGTGGCCATGGCTGGACGCCGCTCGAGAGTCGATGATCCACAGGACGTGCGTTAGTCCACGGCGTGCTGGTTCCGCTCAGCTCCACCACCGGACACGTAGCACAGACAACCCGCGTAGTAAGGATGAGCGACTTTCCGAGGCTACCCTTGCATCCTTGTCCGTACGGCCCATCCTTAGCGACCTTCGCTGGCCAACCTCGTTCGAAGAACGTTAGCATGGCCCTCCAAGGCCCTTGCATCCTTGCCGCGTTATACGGGTTGACTGCATGTATCGGCCCTCGTTGCACCGATTGCGTCGTATTTACCGAAGGGCCCCGGTGGACAGGCACTCGGTAGGTACGGGCATCGGTTCTGAGCGGGAGCGGCCCCTGGGCTGGTCGGCGCGGCGGCCACGCCTGGCGCGGGCGCGCAAGGCGGAAGGCTGGCGGCGGTGGCCTGAGCAGGTTCAATTTCGAGGGATCTCCGCTGTCTGACGGCGGAGATCGTTCAAAAGTGAACGATGCTCTCGCAGCCCGTCCCACCCATGGGCCATGGGCTTCCAACTTCTGTTTTCGTTTTGACGTCCAATGGCTGGGCATCCTTACCCCACAGCCTCATGATTAAGTAGTATCACATGCGGTGTCGGACCAAGGGACTATGCCGACATGACAGAAGCCAGTTATACCCGTCGGTAGTTGAAGCTGGTGAGGATGCGGTCCTGGCGATTCGCTGTTTTTACCTTGGCCTCATGGGGTTCCGTCAGCTTGAAAAACGGGTATGCATGGCCCTCCGCAGAGATCTAGGGTTTGGAGCTGAATGGTTTTTGATCGGTGGTTAGGATTTGGCCAGCCCTGATCTTGGTTGGGCCCAGCATGATCCTAAAATGAAAAGGTCGGTGTAGGTGCATAGTGTGCATCCTCAAATGTCAGGTTAGATGGGAAGAGTCGATGGGACCAGCCCTTCCACTTGTTCAGCCCTGGCCAGTTTCCCTCCACTTGTTTCTAGCCCTGGCCGCCTCATCCTTGCGCTTTGGCCCTTGCCAGTCTTTTCAGCCTTGGCCACTCCCACTGTTTTTGCATGTAGAGAGAGAGTGAGACAGAGACAGACGGCCTGGATGAGCGCGGGGATCTCCCGCGCGGGCGCCCCGCGGCAAGCGGTGGGTGCGCCGAGCCTTGTTTGGCTAGCGCACAGCATTCGGGGCGGGGGGGCAAGAAGAAGTCCGACCCCTGGCGCGCTCCCAGGCGCAGGAGTGGTTGGGATGGACTCTGGCCCCGAGCGGCGCGCAGCGCACGACCACTGGGTGGACTCGCGGGAAGGAGACCCAGCGCCTCCCCACTCAGGGAAGATCCCCTCCGCAGGACTCCGAAGGGTCACCCCAACGGAGGCAGATCGGCGAGGCGCTGCGGCCCAGGCAGGGCCGCCTGGGAAAGGCGAAAGTTGGGGGTAAAATGCGCTGGGGCAGTTGGTGGCCTGGCGAACGGTTCGGCCCGCTGCCACACGCGGACGCGGACGCAGCGAGGAGCTGGCGAAGGGTGGCCGCGAGATTCGCCTGCCTGCGCATCTCGACGTTCACGGCGTCGCGGGCACTGGCGTGCGTAGCGGTGGCGGCCTCGGCCTCAGCGACGGCGTCCTGGTATTGGCGCCGGGGAGTGTGCTGTCGCCTCACGAGGGACTGGACATTGGCTTGAGGGGCGGCGCGGCTTACTTCGAGGCTTTGTGACTCGGCAGCGGTTGCCGGTGCGCCAGCGGCAGACGAGGCGGGGCCGCCGAAACCAAAGCTATCTGTTTCGTGGATGACCCAGGGGACAGCGCGTGCTTGTGACGGACCGGGCGAGGGGACCTCGTCGGCCACAATGGGCGTTGGGCGAGGAGTTCCATCTTAGCGATCGACTTCGGTGCAGCCCAAGGTAGTCGCGTTCTGGGGATGGATTCCCGTGTAAGCCAGCGGAGAACCGCGAGCCAGCGGAGTGCCGCGGAGGCGAAAGGGCCCACTGGCGAGAGTGCAGAAGCGTCAGGTGTTTCACAGGGTACCTTAGGAGCCACGGAAGGTGGCCCCGAGCTTGTCCTGCACGCCCGCGAAGGTGACCGCATCGGTGGTGGCGGTCGGGCTGGGTGAGCGATCTTGGAGATTGGCTTCTGGTCCTTCTTGGCGGGACAGCCCGACGGCAGGCAGGGCCGGCGGCGAGATGGCGCTGCTGCCCGGGGCGGGGTTCGTGGGAGGCGACTCGTCATGACTGCGCGGGCCACCACCCAGGCCCGAGAGTGTCATAATTTTGTTCGCTATCTGAGTGGGCCCCATACGACTGGGCTAGAGAATCAGTCTTTGTGACCGTCCACTGGGAAGGCGTGGGCTGGCTCCTCATGGCCACTGGGGGGGAGGCATGTTGGAATGTGAAGGCGGCGGCCCTGTCCGCGCCTGGAGAGGCGGACGGGTCGTCGCCGCGGCGAGATCGAAGGGATCGTAGTCGTCTTCGCCGCACGGAAAAACTGCACCCCAAGCCGCCTCTAAGTTGGCCAGGTGGCTGCTGCGTGGTCGTCTTTGGGGGGAGCCAGGAGGCCGCCGCCGATAGACGGGCGGGGGCCCATCCTCCAAAGTTCGCCGTCGGTGTGCCCCGCGCGGCGGGGCGGGAGGAGTAAAGTACGGGCACGCTGATCGTAGAACGGCGACGGCTACCATGTGCAGGACGGCGGCGAACTTGTGACGGACATCGGCGGCTTGGATGACTTCGGCATCTCGTGCAGGGCGACCGCCCCCGGGGCGAACTCATCCGCGCGTCGATTGAAACGTTCGGACATGACAAAGATGAATCTAGGCCTCCTAAAGGGGGTCTGAGTATATGGGGCCCGCGCTGCACCGCCGATGCATCGGCAACGCGGCTCGATGTGGAAGTCGAGTTTCCCCACGTCGACGTGGCCGATGCATCGCCGGTGTATCGCCGATGTGGCGCGATCTTCCGACCCCATCTGCTTGGACCCCATCTAGGAGGCCTCTAATGAGCCCAACATCGATACCAGCTTGGCCCAGGTGATTGGTCACCTCTTCGGGGCGGAACATGTCAGGCTCGCGCGCCTGCGATGTGCGGTAGCCCGCCAGCCAGGAGAGCTTGGAAGCCGTCGACGACGGCTTGGTCGTCGACGTGGATTTGGACAGGGTTCTCGCCGCGAGGAGGCGAAGGGGGGCCAGTACGTCGGCGCGTCGTGTGCTCTGCGACAGGCCGTGGGCGCGGGCGGCGTAGTTGAGGCGATGGTCCAGGCTACAGCAGATGCCGTAGGCCGTCCAAGCAGAAAGCGGGTGAGGTTGGCGAGAGTAGGCTCCAGGCCTTGGCCGCATTGCAGTTGGTGGCCAGATCGGTGCATTGTTGGTAGTGGTCGCCGTCTTTCTTCCTGGACGGACCGAGGGATCTTCCCGCGGAAGAGGGTCGCACATCGTGTGTTTTGCCCGTGCGCAAGCGTGACCAGGAGGGGGGGGTCCTTCAGAAGACCAGAGAAACCCTTCCAGGCAGCACTTGGCAGTCTACCACGCCTCAACGCGCCAGGGGGCACGGTGGTCGATCTAGTATCAGGAACCCACCCGATCAGGGGCTCTGTCCTGCAAGCGAGGAGGAGGGAGGAGGATTCCAGGCTCATCTTTCATCCTCGCCCAGTGCATTCTGTCCTGCGACTCTCGTCCTGTGTCCTGCCGCCCGCCGTTGCAGGATCTTCCAGCGTTTGACCACACGCCGTCAGAGAGGCCCCACGTTTTCTGTTTGCTGCTCTGGTGGAGCGCAGGTGGGAAGTGGCGGACGAGGAGAAGGGGATAGAAAGATAGTGAGGGAGAAGCAGGGAAGGAGAGGAAGGGAGAGGAAGGAGAGGGAGAGACGGAGAGTGAGGGAGGAGAGGCGAGAGAGGAAAGGAGAGAGAGAGGAAGGGAGAGGAAGGAGCGGAGAGTGAGGGAGAAGGAGAGCAGGAGAGGAAAGGAGAGGGAGCCTCTGCGATGCGCGCTGCGTCGAGGTCGGCGGCGGTCTCCCTCGAGGGACCTGCTGGCGCGTGCGTTTGGACCTGGCGCCACGATAGGAGAGAGGGGTTGAGGGCGGGAGAGGGAGGAGGAGGGGGAGGAGGAGGGGGAGGGGGAGGAGGAGGAGGAGGAGGAGGAGGGAGGAGGAGGAGGAGGAGGAGGAGGAGGAGGAGGAGGAGGGGGAGGAGGAGGAGGCGGAGGAGGAGGGAAAGAGGAGGAGGAGGAGGAGGAGGGAGGAGGAGGAGGAGAGAGGAGGAGGAGGAGGAGGAGGAGGAGGAGGAGGAGGACGAGGAGGAGGAGGAGGAGGAGGAGGAGGAGGAAGGGGAGGGGCAGGACCAGGGGGGGGAGGAGGAGGGGCAGGGGCAGGGGCAGGACCAGAGGATGGAGGAGCCGAGGGCAGAAGGGAGAAGGGAGGGCCCCCCCGCTTGTCGGCCCAATCCCAACCGACGGGTCCCAATCCCAACTAATTGGTACTAATCCCAATCCGCGCGAAAAGCAAAATGGTCCGAGTCCCAACCAATGGAAGGTAAGCCCACAATAGGTAACAAGATAGAGAGCGGTTCGAGACAAGTGTAACAACCAAGTAACGTTTCTTATGCCACCGCATGTGTGTCGGAAACCAACATGTGTGCCAGATTTGGAAATGGCACCACGTCGGCCTTCGCAGGAGCAGACTGGAGAACGGCTGTGGTAGTAGCAGTCATAGAACCTGTCGCAGTAGAACAATCAGAAAAGTAATAGCAAAAACAGTAGAAGTACCAGTAGCAGTCGTAGTAGCAGCAGTAGTAGTAGCAGCAGCAGTAGTAGCAGTTGCGTACTAGTGGTAGTCGAAGTAGTCGTAGCCGTAGTAGTAGTAGTAGTAGTAGTAGTAGTAGTAGTAGTAGTAGTAGTAGTAGTAGTAGCAGCAGAAGTAGTAGTAGTAGTAGTAGTAGTAGTAGTAGTCGTAGTAGTAGTCGTAGTCGTAGTCGTAGTCGTAGTCGTAGTCGTAGTCGTAGTCGTAGTCGTAGTCGTAGTCGTAGTCGTAGTCGTAGTCGTAGTCGTAGTCGTAGTCGTAGTCGTAGTCGTAGTAGTAGTAGTAGTAGTAGTAGTAGTAGTCGTAGTAGTAGTAGTAGTAGTAGTCGTAGTAGTAGTAGTAGTAGCAGTAGTAGTAGTAGTAGTAGTAGTAGTAGTAGTAGTAGTAGTAGTAGTAGTAGTAGTAGGTGTAGTAGTAGTAGTAGTAGTAGTAGTAGTGTGTAGTAGTAGTAGTAGTAGTAGTAGGTAGTAGTAGTAGTAGTAGTAGTAGTAGTAGCGTAGTCGTAGTCGTAGTCGTAGTCGTAGTCGTAGTCGTAGTAGTCGTAGTAGTAGTAGTAGTAGTAGTAGTAGTAGTAGTCGTAGTCGTAGTCGTAGTCGTAGTCGTAGTCGTAGTCGTAGTCGTAGTAGCAGTAGTAGTAGTAGTAGCAGTAGTAGTAGTGGTAGCAGCAGCAGTAGTAGTAGTAGTAGTCGTCGTCGCCGTAGCCGTCGTAGTAGTAGTAGTAGTACTAGTAGAAGTAAGAATAGTCGCCGTCGTAGTCGTAGTCGCAGTCGTAGTCGTAGTAGCAGTCGTAGCTGTTGCCGTCGTCGTAGCCGTAGTCGCAGTCCTACTCCTATCAGTAGTAGCAGTAGTAGGGGCAGGAGTAGTAGAAGTAGAACAAGACGTAGTAGTGGTAGTGGTTGTAGTAGTGAGTAGTAGTTGCTGGTGTAGTAGTAGTGGTAGTAGAAGTCGCCGTCGTCGTCGGCGTGGTCGTAGTCGTAGCCGTACTCGGTATCGTAGTCGTAGTCATAGTGTTAGCGGGAGTCGACGTAGTAGTAGTAGTAGTAGTAGTAGTAGTAGTACTATAGTAGTAGTAGTAGTAGTAGTAGTAGTAGTAGTAGTAGTAGTAGTAGTAGTAGTAGTAGTAGTAGCAGTAGTCGTAGTAGTAGTCGTAGTAGTAGTAGTTGTTGGTAGTAGTAGTAGTAGTAGTAGCCGTAGTAGTAGTAGTAGTAGTAGTAGTAGCATTTTGAGTAGTAGTAGTTGTAGTTGTAGTAGTAGTAGTAGCAGCAGCAGTAGCAGTAGTAGTAGTAGTACTGGTAGTAATAGTAGTCGTAGTAGTAGCAGTAGTATAAGTAGTACAAGTAGTAAGAATAATAGTAGTAGTAGTCGTCGTCGTAGTCGTAGTAGTCGTAGTAGTCGTAGTAGTCGTAGTAGTAGTAGTAGTAGTAGTAGTAGTAGTAGTAGTAGTGGTGGTGGTAGTGTTAGTGGTAGTGGTAGTAGTACTCGTAGTCGCATCTGTAGCAGTAGCAATAGCACTAGTAGTAGCGGAGTCGTAGTAGTAGCAGTAAGAGTAGTAATAGTAGTAGTTGTAGTAGTAGTAGTAGTAGCAGTAGTAGTCGTGATAGCAGTAAAAGTAGTAGTAGTAGTAGTAGGAGGAGGAGGAGGAGGAAGAGTAGTAGTAGTAGTAGAAGTAGAAGTACTAGCAGTCATGATAGTAGTAGAAGCAGAGTGGTAGTTGTAGTGGTAGTCGTGGTGGTAATCGTAATCGCTATAGCAGTAGCAGCAGAAGTACTCGTAGTAGTAGGGGCACACCTGACTTATTGCTTGTTCGGCTTGGCTTTGGGTTTGGGTTGGCGGGCTCCCTAGTGGAATTCCAAACGAGGCCTTCCTATCACAATTCAATAGGAATCCCAATTGGAAGTCATCCGAAAACTTCAATAGGAACGCAAAACTAACGTTATAGGATGGTACGAGGGAATTCCAATAGGAAGGCCTCGCCTAGGTCAAGTGTGACATACACGAGACCCATATAAGGTTTCATAGAGCTATACTGAAGGCCCAGCCAAAGAACCGGCCATAAATGGGCGAACTGGTTGGATTCTTGAAAGATTTCTATTGGGCTCCTATTGAATACTGCTATTTACCTCTCATATTCTCGTTGACTGAAATCCTATTGAATTCCCAGGAGCCCTTCCTGTTGGAATGTCAATTCCGATTGAATTCCAGCTGAATACCCAGAGGACCTTCCTATTGAAAATTGTATTATATTCCAATTGGAAATCCTGCCCTGCTAAGTTCTGGTAAGCCCTGGCTAAGCCCTGCCAAGCCCTGGCAGGCCTTGGTAAGCCTTGCTGGGCCGCCGCCTCTTGGGTTTCAATGGGGCCGCTATAGGACGCCAAGAAGAATCCTGTTGGAGTATAATAGGAAACCGATTGGAACCCCATAGAAACCTCTCTACTGAAATGCAGTAAGGCTCCGAACGCAAATGAGCAGGAATCCGATTGAATTCCAACAGGAGGCCTTTTCAACGGTATCCAACAGGAGACCTTCTCAACGGTATCCAACAGGAGGCCTTCTCAAGTGGTTGGGATTGGGACCATTTCCGGTTGCAATCCACTCCGAACGGTTGGAATTGGGACAAATCGGTTGGGATCCGTCCCATTTCCGGAGCCCTCCCCCCCGATGCCCGTGGGGAGAAAGGAGATGACACGCGGAAGGAGCAGCTGATTGCAGGAGGAAGCGCTTGGGGAGAGGGCGGACGGCACGAGCGGCTGTCCGCTGGCCAAAGAGGTTCGACAGGGGAGTTGGCACGAGCGTTCGTCCGCCGGTCAGTCCCAGAGGGAGCGTGGGTTCGCACGAGCAGCAGGCTTTCGATGGTCAGTAGGGAGGGGAGGGAGAGGGAGGCAGAGACAGAGAGAGAGATGGAGGGAGAGGGAGGGCGGGGGAGGGGGGAGTGGCGGAGGTAGTAGTCGACGTGGTCTTTGGAAAAAGGAGAGTTAGCACGCGCAGTCTTCTGATGAGAGGGGGGAGACAGGTAAGCGCGTCTCCTTTCTTCCAGCCTCCTCAAACCCCTCCCTCTCTCACCCCTCCCTCCCTCTTTCCTTAAGGGACTTGGAATATGGTTTCAAGTTGTTTCTCTCTTTTGTTAATTCCCCCCTCTCCACCCAACGTCCCCCCGAACTCCTCGTGCCACCCCCTTGTCCCTCCAGACATTGTCCCTCCAAACACACACACACACACACACACACTTCCCTCTGGCGCCTTGGGCCACGAACGCGTCGCAAGCCAACGGGATGCGTCGGCACAAATTACAAACGAATTGACGTCGAATGTGTTCGGATCGAGGCCGTGATATCTACACAGTCGGATCGAGGTTTAAGATCGAGGTCGGCTCGGGGAGGGTACCCTCGTGTTCTTCGTGGTTGTTGGATGTGTTTGTGCATCCTGGGGAGAGCACCGTTGGGGGAGGGTCTCATGTTCTTGAGGGGCGTTCTTCGGTCCGACTGTACACACACATACACAGCACGAGCCCGTTCTTCTGTGGGGCTCGTGCACATCGAGGAGGCCCAGCAGCGCGTGGTCCTTCAGAGCCTCGGTCGACCAGCATGGGCCCGCTGGCAATCGCCAGGGGCAGGTCCCAGAAAGGGTCAGGTCGGAGGCGACGATGGGGGCGAATAGCCTAGGGGCGGGCATTACACGCATTCGCCTGGGAGCCGCGCCGATGGCATGGACCATCGGCGTTCTTGGATACATGTATTGCTCTCCCTTTAGCTATTCGCCCCCATCTTCGACCCTGGTCGGGTCTCGGGGCTCAAGGGACGGGGGTCAATGCAAACGGGGGTCAGCCAGAGCGCTGGATTTCCCAGGATCCTGCAGAGCCAGGTGTGTACAGACCCGGGCTTGGGTGCAGGATCCTGCAGGATCTTGCAAAGCCTGATTGCATTGACCCAGGCCAGAGGATTCTCCACAGCTTTTTTCTGCGTTGCCGGGGTCAGATCCCAGAAAGGGTCAGGGGTGCGGACAGGAGGGGACTGGCCCAGGGGGGCAGAGGTGGTGCTTGGCGCGCAGATGCTGGGCGGCTGGGGGACCGTCGATCCCCATCTCGGTGGGAGTGGGCCCAGAGGCAGAGGAGGGGGACGAGGATTCGGCGGTGAGGTTCTCCCCCAGGGAGCAGCCGCACACGCTATGCGCAACTCCTCCGCGCCTCTGCGGGCAGCCCCGGGAGGTGGCTGGACGACGTGTTGCGGCGGCTGAGCCTGCCCGCCTCGGACTGGTCTGCGCACTGCGAGGCTCGAGCCGCTGCGCCGAGCCTCTCCACGATCGGGGCCTGACATTTTAGGAGTGGATTGGTAGTGCGGCGCGTGTATATATATAGAGAGAGATATATGTAGATGTATGTATGTATACATATATGTGTGTATATGTGTGTATGAGTGTGGCGCGGCGTGTATGTGTGTGCAGTGTATGAGGAGGAGCTGTAGTTCCATGAGCGCGCATTTGCATCATCACGTGTTCTGGCCCCCTTATAAGCTCTGAGGATGTGAGACTGTGGTGTCGTTTGGGTGGTGCTCTGGCTTTCCCACTCGCGCGGACTTCCATCACTACGAGGCTGTAATGATTATAACACATAAGATATCCAATCATATTATGGAAACCAGAATTGTCGCAGGCCACAGGACATCCCGGTCCTCGCAGCTTGTTGGCCCCCTATGGGGTTTGCGGAGATCGAAGTCGGTTCGGGGAGGGTACACTCATGTTCTTCGTGTTTGTTGGATGTTGCTGTGCATCCGGGGGGAGGGTACCCTTGAACGTTCTGCTTGTTTTGGCCGGGGGAGGGTCTCATGTTCTTGAGAGAAGCTCGTCTGGCTTAGGTCCGACTGTGCACATGTACTTATCTGTTTTTTATGCGCACGCATTGCCCCACGATATTGCGAGGGCAGGGGGCAACAGCCTGCGGCACAGCCAGGTCCAGCCAGGACCCGTCGGGCGAGGCACGCCTTGAGATGTTGTGCGCATGCGCTGACAGTAAAATTCGGCCACGCGCAGAGGGGGGTACGGGAAGGGGGGAAGGTTTCTTAGAAGCAACCCTGCTTCTTAGATGGCGCGGGCCTTGCATCCGTAGAGAAGGCCATCGCCTTCTAAGAAGCAGCCTCCTTCTGAGAAGCCTTCCCCCCCCTCCCCCTACCCCCCTCTGCGCGCCGTCAAACAGTCCCGCGGGCGGTGATCATAGTCACCGCTTCGTGGTACGATCCCACCCATTCCGACGACGACGACGATGACGACGACGACGACGACGACGACGACGACGACGACGACGACGACGACGACGACGACGACGACGACGACGGCGGCGGCGGCGGCGGCGGCGGCGGCGGCGGCGGCGACGGCGACGGCGACGGCGACGGCGACGGCGACGGCGACGGCGACGGCGACGGCGGCGGTGACGGCGACGACGGCGGCGGCGGCGACGACGACGACGACGACGACGACGACGGCGGCCCGCAAGGCCCTCACAGCTCTCCGGCGCGTGGCGCGCCATGCCCCGCACCTGCTGGCCACCCCGCCCGTGCTGCGCCAGGCCGAGCGGTGGGGCTGTTGGGGTCCTTCCCCTCTCCGGGGGGGGGAGGGAGGACGAGGGCGGACGAGGGAGGAGGAAGGAGAGAGGAGGGAGGGGGAGGGGAGGAGGGAGGAGGAAGAGAGTCAGAGAAGGAAAAGGTACCCATACCGCTACCCTTCGCCCCGTTGTCCTCTTTCTGAGCCTCCTGGGAGCTCGTCGCCACCGCTAGATTCGCCTCGAAATCGTTGTCAGAACGCACTACGGGAGAGGTCCGGGGAGTAGCGGTATTGGTACCTTTTGGCTTCCTTTTGGCTTCCCCAGAGGTAGGAGGGAGGAGGGAGGAGGGAGAAGGGAGGGGGGGAGGAGGGAAGTGGGAGGAGGGAAGGGGGATGAGGGAGGTTTTGTGCAAGAGACCGCTGCCGGCAAACCTCCGAGACGGGCCCAGGATGCACGTACGGACAGGAAAGAAAAGAGGAAGCCCGCAAACGGCGTTGCCCAGCGTGGCTCGAAATCTGAAAATCAAAAACTCTGGCAATGTGTCTCGCTCTCGAACTCCAACACGAGGGTGCAGACACTTTCGAATTCCCACAATGGCAGTCTACTGGGCCTTGGTGAGTGAGAGGCTGTCGTGAACAGACAGTCACACTCCTGTGCCAAGAGCCGAGGGGGGCTCGCGGCGTACCTGCCGCACTCACCGCAAAAGACAAAGGCTGCCTTCCGCCACATGACATGAGACTGGTGAAGAATCTGGCCTCGCCATCCTGGCCTTTATGCCTGGCCGGGGGGTTCGGACCACTGCACGACTCGGAAAAGCTGCTCGTCAGAGGGTGGCAAGGAACGCAAGCCTCGGAGGGAGACGGACGCACGCACGAGCAGGGGCCGCCGACAGTGACGCAGAGGGGCGTGCGAGTCGCACAGAGGGACTCGAGACGCGGCAGAACTCTGCAGCGGGTCCTGAGAACTGTCCGACCACAAAGCCTGCAGCACCTTTGGGAACTATCTCCCAAGAGAGGGAGGAGACGTCCAGAGCTTGCTGAACAACCGCCGCGCTCCTCTGGACCCTCGGGACCTTCGCAGGCTTGAGAACACGGTCGGGATCCTTGGGGGTGTTGGCAGAGGCAATACAAGGGAAGTGTGCCGCTCCGGCACGCCGCTCTCCGCTCGGGTCTCTCCGCGCAGGCCTCGGGAACCTGGACGCTGGCGGCCCGTTCTTCGGCGAGGCCGTCGACCGCAAAGTTGGCGTAGATTGCGGCCGCCTGCATGGACGTTCCGAACCTGGCACGCTGAAGCTCGTTGTCTGCAAGCTGGTAGGGAACGTGAACGAGCGAGAGGGGGAGGGGCAGCCCGAAGATCGGCCAATGCCCAAAACTCATGCCACAGATCAGCATTCTCCAACTTGACAGTGGCCCTCGCATGGTTGACGTGGTCAAAGAGAGTTATTAATTCAGTATCACGGCCGACAGCCCTAAGCATTTCAATGAGAGCAAGTGCCTCCGCACGAGGGGCCGTCTGTTTAGGGCTGTCCACCAGCCCTGTGCACCCAGAGTCCCAAGCAAGCTGGGTGGCCGAAATCAGGCGGATGAGACCCTACTCAACACGCTTGAGCGTGGGTTGCTTGTGACGACGGCCTCCAGGGCCACCTGCTGCATAAACTCCCCCTGGCAAGGCTCACTCTCCACATCGAAGCTATTCCACATCTCGGACTCCAGGGGTTGGCGGGAGCTCGAGCCACGAAAGGGGTGGCCTCTCTCCTGTATCGCTTGGTGGGCAAAACGGTTCGTCTCGACCATATGGGGGCTCGGGGGCTCCAGTCCCACAGACTCGGCCCAATCTTTGGAGAAATAATTGCACGGGCGGGGAGGAGGGCGGAGGAGGAGGACGAGGAGGAGGGAGGAGGAGGAGGAGGAGGAGGAGGAGGAGGAGGAGGAGCAGCAGGAGGAGGAGGAGGAGGGAGGAGGAGGAGGAGGGAGGAGGGAGGAGGGAGGAGGGAGGAGGGAGTAGGGAGGGAGAGATAAGATGTGCCGAATGCAGAATCGGAGGGGCAAGCATTGAGTGAACAGATTGCCAGTAGTAAGTTGTGCTACAGAGGGGGCGGGAATTCCAGCGCGTCGCCAATTTTGGCCCAAGCCATTTTTGAATATGAGCCTCACGTGGAGCAGCCAGCTTTCGCTAAAATGCTAGCAGCTCGGGCAGGATTGTCGCAAGTCTAAGGATTACGTGTTTGATTAAATATGGGTCGTCTCTCTTATCAGCTAGACAATCCATCAGTTCGTGTACTACTCCAGGTGTGTCGTTTCCACTGTCCCGGGCATCGTCGACGAAGTGGAAACGTACCATTTGTATTCCATATCGCGCGCGTTCATACATTTACTCATTCATATTGGATTGTTTGCGCATGGTCTGCACATCTGTGGGGTGATGCCTCCTCTCAGGCGTCCAAGCCGGGAAGGTGCATTTTGTGATCAGATTTTCGCGATTCGTTCACTTCGGGGCCGCATGCAGGTGTAACCGACATGGTCAGCACTGCCACGGAGGATTGGCGACAGAAGGTGATCAGGATATTTGTTGGACGCGACTGGAAAATGTACTTGTTGTTCCGGCAGGATTTTGCTCACATGTCCTCGCAGTTGAACGGTCAGTTTTTCCCGTTTGACATTCGCCTTCGAAGAAGGTCTCAAGACATTGACCATTTACGGGCTGCAGTCAACCCTTCTTTGTCTTTCACTTGCCTGTCCTTGCACCCGCGTTGCTGGCAGGCACGCCAGGTGGGTTCGCTGCTACCCCTGGCTCAGAGGGACCTTTTTGGGAATCCGTCGCGCCTCTCAGAAGTGGGATTGCTAGTTGCTGCTACACGGCCGTTTTGTGAATTGCCAGTTCAAGTTTGTAGCGAGTGTTCAGGGTGACACTGCTATTCTGTACGGTTGGTGTGGCAACGGGTTCATGTACACCGGAGACGCACGCATGGTGAGACAGATTGTGTCACACAATGGCCCGACGCAGGCATGGCCTGAACACGCCACGTTGCGCACGCGACAGCACATTTGAGATTCGATATACCTGCGGTACAGAGCCTCCCGCCGTATACCCCCACATTGTGCTACTTTCCTCAACCTTCGGATGGGCCCCACCCGTGACATCTTTCAAGCCGAAATTGTTGCTACAAAAGCGTTGATGCCCCCACTTAACGCGAAGCCGACAAACCTTGGCTGCAAAGGTTGATCACGCCGACGACAGCCCAGAATCCGACTTCACCCGGCGTCCATGTTTCTCGGGATCCCATGTTTGATGCACGACAGGCTTCAAAATTACCATGCCGTGTGCCAGGTGGACTGTTTGATGTTGCCGGCATGCCGAAGGCGACGACATGGGATGCAAAGATTACCTCGCCATACATGTCACCATCGCCATCAAGCGCAGCATAAAAAATCACTTGCTACTTCATTCCAGTGGGCGTCTTATTTCACTGAGTTGTGTTGGATCTTCGTGCGGGTTGAGGGTATAGGGCCACTTAATGTGTACGACGGTGCTCTGTGGCCTTTGTGGCTGGTGTGGTTGGCATCTCGTGGTTCTGTCGTCGATTGGGATAGGTTCGCTGCTTCGTGGTCGTGTCCACGACCATCCATGCTGGTCAAATTGTGGGATGCATGCATGCTTGCACATCGCATTGGTCGGAGACAGACCGCGCGGCGAAAGCTGACGCGGGCATTCAGGTGGGTACGACTCCCATCCCGGCTCCTCGACCATACGGGTCCCTGAGCGTGCAACGATCCCTCTTGCACGCCACGGCGTTCGTACAGCAATATTGTTCTCGGAATGGCCTCCAGATGTTCAGCAATGGATTTGCAGGCGCACTCGCGTCCAGTGTTCCGCCCGCCGCACTTTCTTAAGCACATGTGGAACCACTTCGTGGGCACGGAAGGGTCCAAGGCAACGAACTCCAGGAGTGGACGGTCGACGGAGCCAGTGACGCAGTTTCAGTTGCGGGAGCTCTCAGACTTCCTCAACGTTGCGACGTTCTTTGTAGACCCGATGCCGCGCGGATTTCTCGGATCGGCGCTGGGGCCCCCTGGCGGCGCCTCCGGCGCCGCCCCTGGCGCGCTCCGCGCGCCAGGGAGGGGGGTCCAGCGACGATCCGATTCAACAGGAAATTCAGAGATGCAATTCATCGGCACGGAGATTGTGTGGAGCACACGCGGCCAGACAAATTGTTGCGAGTTGCTGAACTTGCGAAGGAAAGCAATTGCGTTCGTTTGCGGGTCTTTTGGGGCAGTTGCTTAGGTTGGCTTGGCAACATTACTGCTACACGCCCGCTTTTGTTATCCCAGATGGCCACGTACCAGTGATGGACGACAAGCATGGCAAGATGATTTGGTTGATGCCTCGCGAGGCCTGTGCGCATGCGTTGTTCGCTTCCGTTGCGCGCAGCGATACATGGCGCTTAAGAGAAGTGACCCAGGAAACGGCCGAACACACGTTGGGGCAAGCATTCGCGAATATCGTGCCAGGGCGATTGCATAGAGTGTTGCCCATAGGTGCCGATGTCCACATGTTGCCAGATATGTATATCACCATAAAATCAAAACGTCACGGCAATGGTGCTGGACACGGGCTGAAAACATACGACAAACGGAACCACTCGTGTTGCAAGAAGGTGGTTTCGTTTGCCCATTGGCCGAAGCGCAACCAATGGCGCAGCATTGGCGGAGCAATTGGCACATTGGCATCCCGATGTTCTATTGGCTTTGAGGTGTAGAAGTTGAAATCTATTGTGCAGCAGCTCTGGAATGCGATTGCACAACTGCGTCCCTTGGTCGAGGGCCGGCAAGCTTGTGCCTGTGACGGTTACGGTGCATGCAAACCGTTTTTGCGCGGTGTCGTCGCAGATGCGGCCCACATGTTTGAGCGCATTGGAGAGCAGTTGGTTCTCGACGTTGCTCGTGACCTGTTCGGGACAGTTTCCAACAAGGAACGGACGGACGCGATCACGGTGTTAAATTCGACGAAAAGTATGTCGTATATTGGTGGATCACACACGTACTGGTCATCTCGCTCGACAACATACTGTTTCAGTGAATTTCGTGATTGTTTTCGAGCTTGGATGCGCACGAATTTGGCTGCAGTTGGGGAAGAGATTGCTTCTGCCGACGGCGTCCCAATTGGAAGGTCCTTGAGCCGAACGGCAATTTCTCTAGTGCTATCGATGTGGAAGGGCCGATGGGCCAATCGATGGGATGTGATTTGTTCGGAGAGCGGATACACGTGCATGACATGGGCGGAGACAGTTGCTGTTCGAAGGTACGTGGGTGATACTATTTGTGTCTCTCGCCGCTTGTGCCGAAATTGCATGATGGAATATGCGACGACTATGTACCCAATGAAATTTGAATGTAAAGTTACAGTTGCTGCATGTCGAAATTGATTTGCAAAAATTTGGAACACGATTGTGTGCCTCGGGATCTCGGGACTCCCCCGGCATGGGCTTCAGATTCTAGGTAGTTGGTGTCCTGTGTAATCTTCAAAATCTCACGGCACTGGTTCAAGCAGTTTGCCAAATTATTCGAAATGTTGGTAAACGGCGGTTGGACTCGGAAGCACCTTCGCCGCGTCTTGTGCGCAATCTGTGGGCGGCCACCATCCCTTCCTCTCCGCGTCATGGTGGACAGGCTCCAGCGTGTCGCGATGAATTGAGCCCCATCCAAAGACAAAATGTGCCGAATGCAGAAACGGAGGGACAAACATTGAGTGAACAGATTGCCGTTTTTGAGTTGTGCTACAGAGGGGTGCGAATTCCAGCGCGTTGCAAATTTTGACCCAGGTCATTTTTGAATCCGAGGCTCACGTGGAGCAGCCTGCGCTCAAATGCTAGCAGCTCGGGCAGGACTGTCGCAAGTATAAGGACTGCAGTCATGGTAAAAAATGAGTCGTCTTTATGAGGAAAGAAGGAGGAGAGAGGGGAGAGGAGGAAGGATGGGGAGGAGGATGACCGGGAGTCTCCCCTGCCCCGCCGCCGCTCCCCCGTGGAAGTCCGCCCGGGCGCTCTCGCGAAGGATGGTCCCGGAACGCCGCAGCGTTCTTGGGCGGGACAGCCGCAGGAAGGGGCCCGGGTGCCATGGGACCACCAAGCCGGCAAAGCAGGAGCAGGGAAAGGAGGGAGGAGGGAGAAGACGAGGGAAGGAAGGAAAAAAGGAAGAAAGGAAGGAAGGATGAGGAAGAGGAGGAGGAGGAGTTCTGGAGTTCTGGATATAGCGACTAGGTCGATGAGGAGGAGGAGGAGGAGGAGGAGCAGGAGGAGGAGGAGGGGGAAGGAGCAGGAGGAAGGAGGCGGAGGAGGAGGAGAAGGAGGAACAGGAGGGACGATGAGGAGGAGGAGGAGGAGGAGGAACGAGCAGGAAGGAAGAGGAGGACGAGGCAGAGGGAGGTCTGAGGGATGATGCCTCCTCCCCCTCCCCTCCTCCCCCTCCCTTGGCAGTGTTTGTCCCCCCTCTTTGGTATGGCCTCGCGGGGGGGACAAAACATCTCCCTATCGAGTTGGTTCTTGCACGTGTTCGTTGCACCCTGGACTCCTTGCGCTTCCGCCGCAGGCGGCCACGGTGGCGGCTGGTCTCACCGAGTCGCCCCGCGCGTCCGTGGCCAGGAGCTCTCCCCCAGGAGGACGGGAAGGAGGGGCTCCCAAGCAGCAGCCGCAACGTAGTGATATCAGCATCGGTCTGGCAGCAGAAGCTTCAGAAAACCATCATGCAGCAGCAGCCACAGTCGCAGTAACGATTGGCGGAAAGCACGAGTAGGAGGCAAAGGAGGGAGAGGATGAGGAGGGAGGAGTGGAGTGAGAGGGGGTCTATGCGGTGGACGATGCGGAGGGGAGACGCGGCTAGTCGCTCAGATTCGCCCCCTCTCTCTGGGAGAACGGGAGTTCAAGTGAATTCATACCTTACAGGCTAAGCTGATATCTGTTGAGATTCAAGCTCTTGCGTTGGGTCACTTGGGGTACTGGCCCTGTTTCTTTTCCGGCGTTTCGAATAACCGTTCCGGTATGCCGATGGCCGTTCGGGTTCGACGAGAGGCCCAGAATAGCAGCTCCTCTGCGTAAAAGCAATTTGTCGTCAGAAGTCGTCAGCACAACGTAAGCGTAAGAAGTATCAGTTCATGAGCAGTGTACGTGGAATTGTTGAGGATGTGTGTGTGGTAGCTGGAAATCCGCGACAAGCAGTACATCTGCATACGGTTGAGGACAACACGGATGAAGTGACAAACATCCGTTCAGCAGTTGTCAGCGTGAACGTTTTGATGATACGATGTGGGAAGTACAAGTGACAGCACAAGCAGTGTTTGAATTGAGTAGCCGTAGTCGCAAACGCATGTTGCCAGCGTAGCCACATTACAGCCGGATCAAGGTATTAGATCGAGGTCGATTCGGGGAAGGTACCCGGATGTGTTTCGTGGTTGTTGAATGTCCTGATACATCTTAAGGAGGGTAGCCTTGGATGTTCTGTGTGTTTTGGCCGGCGGAAGGTCTCATGTTCTAGTAGGATGTGTTGATGGCCCAGGTCTGGCTGTAGTTATAGGAGCTCGGAGCTGTAGGAGTTGTAGTAGATGCAGGTGTCGTTGGAGCAATAGAGGTAGCATCAGCAGCAGTAATAGCAGAGCCAGTAAGATTCGTGGCAATCGTAGTCACATTCGAGTCAGATGACCGTAATAGAGGCAGCAGTGCTGGTAGTAGTCGTGGTGTTAGTCTGTTTTGTCGGACAAACGGTCGTACTACGACGAGTGGCCATAGCAGTTACAGTCATCACTACTTGTTGTAGTGGTGGCAGTGGTTGCGGTAGCGTTGCCAGCACAAGAGATACCGAAAAGGGTATCAGTTGTTGTTGCATTGATGTCAGAAGCCGTGTGCTCGATTTTGATAATGGGAGCAATTCGCTCACATACGGTATGGAGTTGGTGATCTTGGCCAGCTTGTTGTAAGAATCGCGTGTTCATTACAATCGCCAGTAGTGATTGCATGATCATTCAATACTGTGTGTTGGCCATACGAGCGATAGCAACAGAGAAACAACGAATAAACACACGGCGTCTCGGTAGCGGCCATGAACCAAGATCCCCATCGAACACACAGGACAATGGGCACGCATCAATGTAGTAGAAGTGCATGTTGACGCCATCTTGCCACCACCCTGATCAGCATGGCCAAGCTTGGCATGATTGTTACTGTGTGCAGTGTCCATGCAACTGTCATGGTTGCTTTCGCCAACTTGTAGTGTCATGCGCCATCTGATTTGTTCGTTTACGCAGGAACGCTCTCATCTGCCTCAACGACATGCTTCTGACGTATAGGCGATATTTTCCGAACATGAGCCTCTTGTGGGGCGCAGTTGCGGCTGGCAGTGGGGCACGCGGCCGATGATTATGTATCCAGCGAAAACCGTAGTCATCTATGTTTGTTGAGTCCGTGCTTGCACAAACTTGGGAGGACGGGCATGCAGAAACGTTGGTTGTCGTCACGCATGGCAAGATTTGTGGGGGGCGTGTGACTTTTGCCGGCGCCGCTCAGGCTTAAGCCCGCAGATTCGAAAGTTTTAGAGTATCGACGGCATGCGGGCCAATGGTCGTAGGCGTCGCACACAGTTTGGATATTGCCTGCGAGTCTGGATGCCCCCCTGGCAACAGGATCAGGCCTCTCAAGCTCCTATCACCTCCCGGGCCATGGAGAGGGACTAAAGTTGCCCCTCCCAAGACAGCGGTGACCACGCGACGCGTTGAGCAAAGTACATTATGAGAACGGTGACAGCTCTGATACTTTGGGTAGTTCTCCCAGGATGGTTCGACTCAATTTTGCCTCCCGAGTCGAGAGCTCGATATTGGGAATGCCTAGCAGCCAGCGCCGCCGACCCTGGAGGGAGACGGCGACGACGACGGCGGCGGCGGCGGCAGCGGCGACGACGCTGACGCTCTGGAGTCTTTGTTGGGGCTTTCTTGGGAGCTTCTTGGGCTCTGTTGGGGCTTGGGCTGGGGCCGCGGCTGGGGCCAGGGTTGGAGCTGGGGCCGAATCTGAGCCTGGGGCCACGGCCGGGGCTGGTGCTGGAGGCCGGGGGCAAAGACCGGGGCCGGGGCGCCGGGGCCGGGACCTGGGCTGCGGACCTCTGGGTGGGCCGTATCCGGGGCCGGGGCCGGGGCCGGAGCGGGCCGGGGTGCGGGGGGAAAACATATTTGGGTGGCGACCCCCAGGACCCCTCCAGGACCCCCCCAGGGACACCCCCATGACCCCCCCGGAACCCCCCATGACCCCCCCAGGACCCCCCCGGGCGCGGGGAAGGGATCGGTTTCCTTTCGATTCCGCTCCGATGTTTTTTCAATTTTGCTTTGGACGACGCGTATGAGGAAGAGGGCCCAGGCAAATGGAACAGAGGAGGATGGAGACGACGACTCCAACGGAAAAGCCCGACTCGAACGGAACAGCCCTTCACACACGCCGACAGGGTCGGCGGATTTCCCATCCGCGAAACGGCGCGACGACACGGGCTCACAAATCGGCGCGGTCTGTTTTCTGGAGTATATCGAAACACGAGATACCAGGCAGGGGACGGTCATCTGAAAGCGGTTCCGAGCACAGGCTTTTCCCCTCATTTCCCCCTCGCCCCATCGCCCATCACCAACCCCGTACCCTTCTCCATCCCCCATCACGCCGTCCCCGTCCCGTCCCTTCCACTGCCTTCCCTCTCCCCGTTTGATGTCCAGAGCGCCGCTAGCCTGGTCACGCAAAGTCATGCTTTCCCTCCTGTTCCCTGTACCCTTTGCGTGTCCTCTCTCCTAGGTTTCTGATGTCGAGGTCCGTCACCCGCAGCAGATGAAAAAGAGTGAGAATCATATCGGTTTCCTCCCGTCGTTTTGACCCGTCTAAGACTGCTTGGGGTGCGAGAGGATGCTGTTTAAAAAAGACTCCCTTCCCCATCCCACGTCACTCCAGCTTCCCCCTCCCAGTTCCCTCACCCTTCCCTGGCCCTCCTCCTCACTCCCCCCTCCCTTTCCCCTTTCCAGTTTCTTTCACCCGTCGCCGTCCCCATCGCTGTTACCCCCCTCCCTCTCCCCCATTATCTCTCTCCCTCTCTCTCTTTCTCTCTTGTTCGCCTTCCCTTCCCTTGCATCCCTCGTGAGGCCAGGACTGGTGTACCTGCGAGCCCGCAGCGATGGCGGCGGCAGCAGCGACCGCAGGCAACAGATGGACCCCGAGTTGGACCGCGTCGCCCTCGCCTGCCTCAAGAAGGCCGCGTTTTGTGCGCGGAGGGGGGCCGAAGAGAAAGGCAGAGATGCGTACCACTTCAGACGAGGGTTCGTCCAGGCCCCCAGGCTACAAGCGCCCAGCAGACCTTCTCTTCACGAAGCGGGAGGCGCCGCAAGCGAAACAGGGTGGTGGAATGACCTCCCTCCTGGCGCGATTTGTGGGGACCCCGATGGGGAAAAAACGAGCAGAGGTGATCAGGCCACTCAGGGGCCCGTCTGCGCCTCCGTAGCTGCGTGAGGCACAAGTTTTTACCACGCTTTGGAATGCGCGTTTCGGTGCCCAGAGCAGCGAACGGCTCCGCCTGGGGGCATCCCCCGCCGCGGCCCAGAGAGAACAGGCGACCGAACAGGCGCCATTTGTTTGCGTCACCCAGTGGTGGTGGAACGGGGGCTTGCATTGGTGTGCCGCCCTTCGAGCTTCGAAGAAGGCTTGGAGGTTGCCGTGGAGGGACGCTCCCATGGCCACTGCAGGCCGGAAGACTTGTTGCAGGCCGTTCCAGGCTTCTTGTGCTCGCTGGGGCCTGTCGATCAGCGGGGCTGATTGCTTTTGGTGTTTCCCCACATTCGAAGTGGGGTTCTTGTTTTCTGTGGACACCCTCCGGGCAGGAACCTCCCTCCCACTCTCCGCGTCACTCACGCTTTCACCCCGTCGTCGGTCATATTCACCATCGATCATCATCATCAGCATCACCACCACCGCCATCATCATCATATTCAGTCGCACACCACACACACTTTCGCTCATCACTCAGCATCATTTTCCTTAGGCCTGAATGTGGAGGAAGTATCAGGCGGGAGGCTCGTCTGTGAGTGAATTGCGAGGAAGTCTCAGGCGGGAGGCCTCTCCCTATGGAGTTCGCATTTTATGTTTTTTAAAATCCGAGTGGGTCATCCTCGAACCTTACCTGTCGTCACTTTTGGGCTCCTGAGGCTTGAATTCGGGGGACGTATCAGGCGGAAGGCTCGTCTGTGAGTGAATTGCCAGGAAGTCTCAGGCGGGAGGCCTCTCCCTATGGGGCCCGCATGTCATGTGCTTAATCCGCGCGGGTCATCATCGAACTTGTAACTGTCGAAAACTCTTCGGGACCTGAGGCCTGAAGTTGGAGGAAGCATCAGGCGGGAGCCCCGTCTGTGAATGAATTGCGAGGAAGTCTCAGGCGGGAGCCCTCTCCTTATGGGGCCCGCATGTCACGCTTTTAATCCGAGCCGGTCATCCTCGAGCCTGTAATTTTCGTCACTTTTCGGCTCTTGAGGCTTGAACTTGGGGGAGGGATCAAGCGGGAGGCTTGTTTGTGAGTGAATTGCCAGGAAGTCTCAGGTGGGAGGCCTCTCCCTATGGGGCCCGCGCTTCGTTTTGTTCATCCGAGCGGGTCATCCTCGAACATGTAATTGTCGTCACTTCTGAGCTCTTGAAGCTTGAATATGGGGGAAGTATCCGGCGGAAGGCTCGTTTGTGAGTGAACTGTGTGGAAGTCTAAGGCGCGAGGCATCTCTTTATGCGGCCCGCATGTCACGTCGCTAATCCGAGCGGGTCATCTTCGAACCTGTAAATGTCTTCACTTTTGGGTTCCTGAGGTTTGAAGTTGGAGGAAGTATCAGACGGGAGATCCGTTTGTGAGTGAACTGCCAGGAAGTCTCAGGCGGGAGGCCTCTCCCTATGGGGCCCGCACGTCACGTTTTAATCCGAGCGGGTCATCTTCGAACTTGTAATTGTCGTCACGTTTGAGCCCCGAGGCCTGAATATGGGGGAAGTATCAGGCGGGAGGCTCGTCTGTGAGTGAATTGCGAGGAAGTCTCAGGCTGGAGGCCTCTCCCTATGGAGTTCGCATTTTATGTGTTTTAATCCGAGTGGGTCATCCTCGAACCTGCCGTCACTTTTGGGCTCGTGAGGCATAAATATAGGGGGAAGTATCAGACGGGAGCCTCGTCTGTGAGTGAATTGTGAGGAAGGCTCAGGTGGAGACCCCTTCCCCGTGAGGCCCGCACCCATGTTTTTTCAATCCGAGCGGGTCATCCTCGAACCTGTAACTGTCGTCATGTTTGGGCTCTTGAGGCCTGAAAATTGGGGAAGTATCAGACGGGAGCCTCGTCTGTGAGTGAACTGTGAGGAAGTCTCAGGCGGAAGGCCTCTCCTTATGGGGCCCGCGCGAAAGTGAAGGTCATTTCCAGATTAGCCAAAAGGATTTTCATGCGGGGTCATTCCGTCGGAGTAATGATGAAGAGAGCGCTAGCAGGTTGGTTCGGCGGTGGAGTGCTTGTATTTTGGCGATGAGAATAGTTTCGAGGTCGCCTTGGTGTTAACTGCTTGTTGCACTGAGGTGCTGCGTGGGGGCCTTGCGTTGGAAGGTCCCGCTCGCATGGTTGCCGTCGTCCCTTGGTTCCCGGCCGCCCCCGTCGAATCCTTGGTGGACTGAATGGAGTGGCAAGAAGAGTAGGGGGTTCTGGGTGGTCACCGCGTTCCGACGCCCCTTGGCGGTTGCCGGATGGGCGGCCGCCGACTCGTCAGGGTGGCATTCGATCGCATTGCAAAAAATATGTGGGGTGAGGTCGCGGTCTTCGTCCTCGTTGGGAGAGGCCCCGAGCCCGAGCGGGTCGAGGTCTCCACCTTCGAAAGAGCGTGTTCTACCGCTGCTGGCGGAAAACCGGGGGGGGTCACTACCGGTTCGAACCCCTCCCCCCCCCCCCCCCCCTCCGGAAAACCGGGGGGGGTCACTACCGGTTCGAACCCCTCCCCCCCCCCCCCCCCTGCTCATCATGAAAAGGGGGGGGGGGGGTCACTACCGGTTCGAACCCCTCCCCCCCCTCCGGATCCGGAAAACCGGGGGGGGTCACTGCCGGTTCGAACCCCCCCCTCCTCGAAAACCGAGCGGGGGTGCGGACAGTGGTGGGGACGGTGTTGGTGGGGACAGTGGTGAGGGGATAGCGGGACAGTGGTGGGGACAGTGGGACAGTGGGACAGTGGTGGGGACGGTAGTGGTGGGGACAGTGGTGGGGACAATGGTGGGAACAGGGGGGGACAGTGGACAGTGGTGGTGACGGTGGTGGTGGGGACAGTGGTGTGGGGACAATGGGAATGAGGTGGAAACAGTGGGACAGTGGAGGGTACAATGGTGGTGGGGACAGTGGTGAAGGCGGTGGCGAGGACGGCGGTGGGACAATGGGACAGAGGTACAGTGGGGACAGTGGTGGGGACAGTGGGGACAGTGGTGGGAACAGTGGGACAGCTCAGTGGGACAGCGGAGGAGTCAGTGGGACAGTGGGGACAGTGGGGATAGTCGGGCAGTGGTTGGGGCCGTGGAGACAGTGGGGAGAGTGGAACCGTGGTGGGAACAGTTCTGGGGACAGCGGGGACAGTGCGACAGTGGTGGGGCCACTGGTGGGGACAGTAGGGGCGGTGGTGGAACCAGTGGGGACAGCGGTGGTGAGGACAGTGGTGCTGGGAACACCAGTGGGGGATGTGATGCGGACGGTGGTGGGGACCGGGAGTCGTTTGCTGGCGGTGAGTAGGGGGGGGGGGGGGGGGGGGGCGAACCGGTAGTGGCCCCCCCGGTTTTCCGGATCCGGAGGGGGGGGGGGGGGGGGGTGGGGGAGGGGTTCGAACCGGTAGTGACCCCTCCCGGTTTTCGAGCGGGAGGGGGGGGGGGGGGGGAGGGTTAGGGGAGGGGGGGGGGGGGGGGGGGGCGACCCCCGGGTTCCGGAGGAAAAGGTTGGCAATTTTCCACAGTAAAGCGGCGGTGGATCACGCTGTCTCCCACCTTCGAATGCATCTCCAGGTGGGGACCAGGGGTCGTCGAGTTCGACGAAATGGTCGGGACCTGGTGGCCCTGCCGTCAGAGGTGGTCCTCCTTGGGCACCTGTACCATGCCCAACCGGACCGACTGCGCGCGGGCGTGGCGTCATTTCAGAGAGGTCAGACTTGGAGCGCCCGCTCTTCTCTTCTGCGGGGCCCACGTAGCGTCCGATGTTGTTGGTGATGATATACGGCGACGACTGCGTTGCGTAACGCAGCTGCGAACTTGTGGCGCTATTTGGCGGCGTCGGCCACGCCTATTGGGATACTGTGGGGCATCGCCCCTGCGGTGGCGAGCTCATCAGCATGCCGGTCGACTGTTTCAGCGATGGGGTTGATGCGTTCTTCGTGGATGCTTTGCTTTCCCAGGTGATTGGCCACCTCCTGGACTTTGAACAAGTCTGATTTCGCCAACGGCACCCGGTGGATGTTTTGCCAGGGTCTGATATCGGCCCCACGCGCTGCGGCGGTTTGCCCCCAAAGGGGCCTTCGAAATGGTCAACAACCGCTCGGTTGTCAACAACGAAACGCACCAACCGTTTTGCGGTGACTCCGAGATGACAGACGGCGCGAGTCCCGGTCCGTTGCTCGGACCCGCGATAGCCCGCGCACGCGGGCAGAATGGTTTAGGCGGCGATATGGGCCGCGGTAAACGCCACAGCCCGCCCTGCCCAAGAAGGGGCGAGATTGGTTCGAACTGTTCGCGTTTCCAGCGTAGACCCATATGGCTCCATGATCATCGGCTCGCACGTTATGCGAGTCTCCATGCGAGCCGCTCTGCGGCGGTCTCGGGATGGGCCGCGGGAGCTCGTTTTACGCCAGAGGAACCTGGAGGTCTAGCAGGCCAGGGTCTGTCTCCAGGAGGCCGCGGCGCCCAGTTCGCGGCGGGAGATCCTGCCACTGCCACTCGGCGGTCCTGTTTTTGAGGGCGGTCCCCCGGCTTCCCCGGCAAGGACATATCCGCGGTCCCCTGGCGCCCTGCTTCCCGGTCGCGCCACCTGCGTTGAGGAGATGGGTCAGCCGAGATGCCCGCCTTGAGTTCCCTCTGCCGGGCGTAGCCAGCCCCGCATTTGCAGCTGCATGGGGGGCCGCGCTGCCGGGCTGACAGCCCATGGTTTTGAGGGGCCGCGCGTTTGCAAAGTAGCCAAGGCCATGCTTGGCAGCGGCGACGGCGCCAAGGTCGCGCGCGGCGG